GTCACCAGACCAGACACAAAGACAAGCCAACAAGACCAGACACAAAGACAAGTCACAAGAATAGACACAAGACAAGTCACAAGACCAGTCAGAAGACCTGTCACAAGACAAGTCACCAGACCAGACACAAAGACAAGTCACAAGACTAGACACAAGACAAATCACAAGACTAGACACAAGACCAGTCATAAGACCTGTGACAAGTACCAGTCATAAGTACCAGCCACAAGTATGAACACGGTGAACAATGACAAAGGAATGCTTTTGTTGCAGACTTGAATAGCTTGTGACTTGACAGACTGGAGGTCTTGTGATGGTCATAAGAGGTGTTGACTACAACGCTGCCCTTTAGTAAAGAAGTTGTTCTGTAGAATTTCTGCAGAGAGGCAGTAGTTAAAGCCTCTTAACCACTTCGTATTGGGGTGCCCGGTACCGGAGACGTTAGCTTTATATCCGCACAGCTGGGGTGCCCGAAATCAGACAAAGGAGCTGGGCCTTGTAACAAAAGGCCGTACTCAGAACAAAAGACCGGGCTGCTGGGAATTACCAACATTTTCTCAGTTGTCTATAGCATAGGTAATCCGTCATTGTTTTGAGAGAGTATACCACTGTTTGCAGCATTCAGCGTGAGCCCATTACAACCTGGGACAAAAGCACTCCAGAGCTCGAGCAATGAGCAATACAATACCGCTGCATGCCAATCTGGCCGCATTTGAAAAGACGCCAGCAACACACTGGGCCAGTTTCAGAAGCAAAAGAAAATTACATAACACCGCACAATCTGGGCTCTCTTTACAAGGCAGCAGGCCTGGCTGAAATACTCGGATTACAGATTCTTCTACGGCCCAAATCAGCAGAACTCTGGAACAGTGTGAAATGACAGGTTACTCTGCTAAGCCATTGCACACAATCTGACGGTGTTCTCTGCAGACCCTACAGACTTGTCAACTATCAATCTTACCTCATCTGTCTCTTCATACTGCCTCTGTTGCTTCATCTGTCGTCTCTCTTCCTCCATCATTTGTCGGTACAGCTCCTTGGCAGCCTCCTGGTCCCTCTCCTCACTGAGCAAAGTCAAAGGTCACAACTGATCAATGCTCACCCGAGGTCAAGGTTCATCTTCAGACACAGTATGTATAAGTATTGAAGCACAAAATATGCATGCAAATAAAGACACGTGGAAGAAACATTAAGGGCAATTCTCAACCGCATATTTTAGATAATTGTCTCAGTGGCAGGTGTATGCTACGAACGACCCAGCAAAGCTCTTAGGAACACGAGTCCGTGTGCATGATGAGTGACTTTCTTGCTTGTCTGGTAGGAACAGAGATACCTAGAGATTCCCCTCTCGCAAGTTTCATATCACACAGAGAACGGACAAATTTACTTCTCTCGTTGACGTTGCTCTCTCATCTTCTGCTTCTCTTCCTCCATCATTTCTTGGAGGATTTTTTTGGCTGTCTGGGCATCTTCCATCTCACTGCAAAGGTTGGGGAAGAAAATTGACGAAAAGAGATCAAATAATGAGGAAAAACTTCTACATGGTTCATTCTGAGTTCAAATACCACCAGCTGTTTTTTTTGTCACAAAAGTTTAAATTGCACAATATTTTCCAATACTGATACAAGGGAATTCCATCATTGAACTAGACCTTAGTTTACTTGTTGATTTGGAATTTTATCTCAGCCCCGATGCATTAGCAGAATGGCTTTATACTCCAGTGTTAGAGACCTCCATATAGAGGAGCCCACATCAGGAGTATGCCTACGAATATTAATGTACAAAGGGAACAGGGGACCAAAACCACTCAGTAGACAAAAAGTCAAGAGCTAAAATATTGCAGCTTCACAGAACCAATGGTCTGGGGGACTGCAGGTGCGTGGACCTATGGATGTATGGAATCATACACTGTAGGCAGGGTTGTAGCTATGCCGGGTGGCGGCGGGCGGGGCCGCCCAGCTCTCGTAATCTCCGCCCGGTATTTGAGGTAATTTTGAGCCTGACCACCCGGCACATATTTCATTCCCGGAGTCGGTAATATTTCTTTAAAAATCTAAACATTTCTCATGGATGTTCCTATATGCAGCACTGCACCAGGGGCTCTTAAAGGGTCCCTCAACCCCTGGCCATGACCTGCGAGAGTTCACTTGCTGCGCTTCGCCAAATCATTACCCAGCACTAAATTTGGGCTGGTGACAACCCTGACTGTAGGTGTACATATGTACATGTATGGAAAAATAGCTTCATGCAGTGACCTACATAAACATGTATGGAACTGGCAGAC